CAGATTTGGAATCTTAAATTCGGAAATATAAACTTGTTTTTCGATTTTCAACAATCCAATACACGATTCACTGCTCAAATCTACTTTAAATAGGCTCAAATTTGATAACATAACTCTTAAATATCATAAATAAAAAATCTTGATCATCAAATTATTGAAACAACTATAAATCTAACAAACCCGAGAAGAAAACAAAATTAAAGAAAAAGAGAAAAATGTATATATATGAAGTTATCTAAAAATTATGCATCAGTTAAATTTTTTCTAAAAAGTGGATATAACTTCAACGGCTAAAGTAAAATTTGGCTTCGCATGAAAATTTTACCTTTCACTATGATTGTTGGGCCTGGGCATAACCCGGGCTAATCGTAACTAGTAAAGATATATTTGAGAGTCGTAATCAATTTCTCCTACTAAAAGCTATTTTGTCCTTTAAAAATGAGATAAAGGAAGATGAACATGTATACGAGTGAAACCGAGGCTAACATATACCCCGATTTTTCGGTGGAATAAACAAAGCAAGGGCATGAATATACGGGATCGAAATCAAAGCTGAGAACTTCTTGTACCAAGGCCCGAACAAAACGTTTGTCAATCAGACTTGATAAAACAAGCACCCCGGACCCGAGATGAGTTCTGAGATTTAGGGAAACGCATAAGACTTCGGAACCAACTGGATATCACGACACGGATCTCACTCGATGGCGGTTACTGATCAGTACATAACGAGAGAGGAGGATTTTTACCTTTTTTAGACTTGTACTAAGAGTGAAACTCTCCAACTATATAAAGAGTAAGTTTTTCTGTGATAAGACACATTGTAACACGCATACCAAGACAATATAATTTCATTTTTCTGCTTTCTAGCTATTGAAAAGTTCTTATTTCATTGTTGTTCTTCATAAACATTTGGCTTCGAATCAAGGGTCCGATCGAGGGCGAAACTATTGTTCAACCCAAGTCCGACCCCGACTGTAATATCACAATTGGTTTGGGTTATTCATTCTATATTAAACTCGTTTATCTAACATTCTTGATTATTTGTGTTGAATCAATCCACATATCCTTAAAATCACGTATAAATTCAATTGTTATCCGTTTTAAGGGTAAACTGAACATATACATGAAAATTTATACTAGTGGTTCCCACTTACTTGATATTTAGTTGAAACTTAAAAAAAAAAGTTTAATACTGTGGCTTATAATTTTAGTAGACAATTGCACATGAGATATACTGTTACACCCCATGTTTTCGTACGTAAGAGTACGTCATAAGTCAATTGATGTAAGCTCAGAAATAAAATCATCATTGAAAAGTTTACAAAGTTAGTTAATCATGTTAGCGTGGAGGTTAGAAATATTTACGATCATGAATACCAAGTACCAAGAGGATTTGAAGGCTTAGAAGCTAAATGTTTGAAGAAAATAAGTTTCGTCGAAAGTCGACAAATTGACAATGTTATAAAATGTACTTTTGGGGTGAGACTAGGGTGATCAAAATGGTAAAGAGGTTATGTTATGCGTTATTTTGTCTTTCGTATCTTATGTTTTGAACTCAAGTGAGTTGTGGAACAAAAGTTGACAAAGATCATCACAAGATACAATTATAAATATGCTGAAATTTAGGTCAAATATAGCTGAGTTTTTCTCCCAACATACTTGGAATTAGAGGATGATCTACTTACCAATACGAGACTATCCAATTGAGTAGAAGTTTTGGGATTGACATAATGATTGTCAATTATTCCATAAATGCTTCATGATTAAATTCTGAATTTAAGGTAAGTATTTTACTTTAGTTTGCTCTTTTAATTCTTGACAATCTATAATTTGATTTTAAATACAAGCAAAAGAAAAGACAATAAATAATGATTATGACTCTAGTAGAGTTTGTAGAAATTATAACCACGTGAAATGGTAAAATTTTATGTCTTGCCATAATCAAATCTCCCTCTCTCTATATATATAAAGTTGGGAATAGAGAAAGTGATGTTCCACCTCTCTTTGGCCAAGAATCACAATTATCTATTTTCTCAAATTTTTGGAGTTTTCCCTACTGTTTCTACTTATATACCCATTTATTTTGTGCTATTTTTAAAAACTAACGAGGAATTACACATATCCTTTTCCACGATCTTTTGGCATTTATTCCTCTCATTCAGTAACGCCTCTTGGTAAAAAACAATAACACCTCTTAATGTTGGAAAACCCAAACGTCACTACTAACCGAACGTTGATTTGCTTGCAATATAATTGGCAAAAACAGTTTCATAATCTCTTAATTACATTTGTATCTTTCCGCTTCTTTTTCTAATCTCATATTGTATTTCTATTCCAAATCCTAATTAAGTCCTCTCCGATCTCCGCCTTAAAATTGTAATGGTAGAAAGTTGTTATTCATATTATTAAATAATTTTCTAAACTGATGTGTATATATATACACCAAGATCATAGTTTCTAATGACAATGGAGAGGGACAAAGCAAGATCTAAGGAAGTTCTTGAAACATTTACGAAGGAACTGGAGCGGCGTACTCCTGCAACAACTTTATTCTACTTACTTATTATGCCTTTTTTTTGCTCTATGTCAAAGCCTATAGAGTGCAGAAGAAGAACGCCACCAAAAAATGGATAAACTTTTAATATTCTTTCTTTGTTTTTGAACAAGCTAAGGTAAATGCACAAAGATATGTTCAACTTTTAATTTTGGGTTCACCACTATATATGTTCTTCAATTTACCTTAGTTTTTTTTTGTCTTAATCTATTTTTTCCCCAATACTCATAACTCTTTTACAACCATACGTCTCCAAAACTTTATGAACTGTTTTTCCAAATTTTAGTTTGTTTCCATTTGGTTCATAATACTTAAATATTTGTTTTTAGAAGAACAAGGAGAAGATGCAAAAGCAAATAAGGAGGAGAAAAGAAGAATTATGAGGAGAACAAGATTGGTAGTGACTTTCTTAGAAAAATAAAGAATAACAACCCCACCACAACGAAGAAATCATTTACTGAAAATGATTTGAATTGTTAGTTCTTTTTATATGGTAAGCTTTGTGAATATTTTGATTGAGTATTAAAAAAATTATTATCATATGACTAAAATGAGTTTGAGACAATAAAATTTGAGAAGGCTGCCAGTAGGTCAAGTAAGTTTGTGTGATAATTTGAAGTGATCAAGATTTTTACTTGTGCTTGTATATTTGTAATAACTATTTTAGAGGGGGTCCAAATCTACTACAATTTAGAAGGATACGAAGTTTTGCCTTAGTAATAGTGTGAGGTAAGTTTTTTTAAAAAAATGTAGATTAAATGGTAATTATATTTTTTTATAGTTAGGATTTAAATGAATTATGTTTTGGTTCCTTATAAGCCTAATGTGTTAACTAATACTTTTATGATTTTAAAAGTTCTTGTTTTGTACAATGGGTGAAGTCGTACAACAATTATTTTTTGCTTTTAGGATTTTAACTATTTCGGGTTTTCAATTTAAATATTACGTTAATACTTACTAATTTCTTTCTTAAATCATGTGTTAATCTCTAATGTAATGTTGTAGTTACTCGATGAAAAATATATCTCATAAAATCGTGTTTTAAATGGCAGAATAATGTATTACAAAATTCAGAATAAGTTCCAAATTTGCGCGGCATGGCAAATAGAAAGTGGTCTTTCTAATAACTACACTTCTTTTACCTTCTCAATTTACAACTCTTAATTTTTTTTGTCATTAGTAATTTTAGTTTTTTAAGATTTTTATTGACACTCCTTGAACTTTCTTAATAGATAAAACTTAAATAAGCTTCATTAGTATACATTTAATTAACTATACATTACATAAAAGTGTAATGCAGATAAATAAACCAAATTTACGAGTTATTCCAAATATATTTTAATTTACAAGTATTTTTTTCTTCATATAAAAGAGGTATAATAATGAATTCGTTATTGCTTTCTGATTTTCTATAGACTGTTGAAGCTTTATGAAATCACGCGAAACGTGATTGAATTCACTAGTCTTAATAATAATAAAGTGTTATTAGTTGTGTACACGTCTGTATGATATAATTTTGACACACCAAACAAAAGTGAATACATACACGTGATTTGTTTCAAAGATTAATCCCATAAACGCCATAATCAAGTAAGTACAAGCGGTAAAAGGTGAAAACACACATAGGTTATAAAAGACTTAATTAACAAATAATAAAGCCAAGTGTCACACCTCCGTTTTCCGCCCCCGCGAGGGGTGAAGGAGTTTTTTCAATTAAAGGAGGAAAATCGTTTTATTTTGAATTTTTTGGGAGTAATTCTTTCATAGGGCAAAAATCACGTGCTTACACCAGGTATGGTCATAAAGCGACCGTGCTAAAATCACGGAATCTGAGAATGCCTAACACTTTCTTCCGGGTTAATTCCTTACCCGGTCTTTTGTATTTCGCAGACTTTAACAGAGTCAATTTTTCTTGATTTGGGATTTTAAAATAAACCGGTTGTTGAGCACCTAATTTTTGCCCTAATGCAAAATACTCCTAAAAATATTCTAAAATAGTTTAGAGTTGTTAATGCATATTTAGAGTTGTTTTAAAATCATAAAAATCATAAAAGAATGTTCAAACCTTAATTTCATAGCATGTTAGATTTTAAATTGCATTTACGATTTAATTACATTGTTAAATTCATCTTTTAAAAACTAAAAAAAATTGCATTCTTAAGGTATTTAATTAAATAGTTGCATTAGTCCGTCATTAGGTAAAATAAATAAATAGGCTAGCCATATAAAAATTAGATTCAATTAAAGTTTGAGTTTAAAATGGCTAGAGTTTGCAAATATCTGATATTGAAAAGAAAGAAAAGAGCTAGGTTTGCCAAGGCTTCAAACGAACTGGGCCAAGGACTGAGGCCCAATCTTTAACCAAACAGCCGCCCGAGTTTGTCCAAATGCCCGACCCGTCTGGCTCCAGGTCTCAAGTGCCGTTCAGCTCCAAAACATCGTCGTCCCTATTTTCCACCTACTAAAACACTCCCTCCTCCAAAAGAGACGGACAGACCTCCCCTTCCAAAAACCCTAGCAGTCTTCTCTTTCTCTTTTCTAAACAGCTCTACACTGCTCTTTCTCACTTCACTCCCATCCAAACACGAATATTCCTCTCTCATACACACTAACTCACACATTTAGAAACTAGAGAAAGGGGATGGAAATTTGAATTAAAAATTCCGGATCTGAAGAAAAGAAAAAAAGGGGTTTGAAGAATTCATTCTGATTTCTGCTAAGCTGTTTTAGTAGTTTTCTGGGCTCCCAAGAAGTTTTTGAATTCGAAGTTGAAGCTGTGTGTTGATTTCTGCTGTTGAATTGACCGTTTAGTGGCTGAACTCATACCTTTATTTTGGTCCATTTCTTCTGCTGTTGTTCTGCCTTTTAGTGTTGTTCGAAGTCTAAGCTGCTGATTTTCGCTGAAGTTGGGCTCCAATTCGAAGCATCTCCCATTTATCTGGCTTTCGGTCCAGTTTGCTTTTTTGTTTTTGCTTCAAACAGGTACACATATATTCCTAAGCTTGTAGTATTTGGGTAAATGGAATGAAAGTTATGCAATTTCCTGTTGGTTTGAATCCGTATGTTAGTTTGCTTGGTTGTGATAATGACAGACCTATGAATGCTAGATTAGTTGAATTTAATCACTTTAAAGCTAATTCTGATCCTAAAAAAGCATAATCTGGACACGGCGTATAAAGATCTATGTGATATTTGATTTATGAATCATGTTTAATTGTGTTTTTGAAGAAAGGTTAGCACAATTTTTATGCACAGTTGAATTTAGTTGTGTATGGATCCTACTGGATTTTACTCTTAAAATCATTGTATTAGTGTTGAGTTCAAATTACAAATGGGATGTTGAAAAATCCTTTGTCATAACGGAGGCCAGGCCAATTCGTTTGGGCCATTCTAAATGAATGACCCAACAGAACTCATTTGGATGTTGCTTGGGCCTGAATAAAAGGCCCGGATGTCTTTCCTCTTATGACAATTAGGACTGGACCCATGCACAGTCTCAAACCTTAGGAAATAATCATTAATGAACATATAATAAATCATCGTAACTATGGGTACGGTTCCCGTGACATAGTCATGATATGTAAAACCCAATTTGAGTGTGCGTTTCACGTCATTCGACCATAACTTCAAATAATAATAAAAATCAATATGTTGTAGATCGCGAGTGCGATTCACGTGATGCTATTCGCAATATTTACAAAAACAAAACGCGTGCGCGACATGTTCAAATGAATTCCATAAATAATTAAAAGCGGTATAAAAGCACAAGATAATTAGGCCAATTTTAATAGTTGAGTGACCGTGCTAAAATCACATAACTCGGGAGCGCTTCACACCTTCTCCCGTGTTAACAGAAGTACTTACCAGGTCTTCTGTGTTCGTGGACCATAATTAAGAGCCAAATTTCCTCGATTTGAGATTTAAAATAAACCGGTGACTTGGGACACCATAAATTATTCCAAGTGGCGATTCTGAAATTAAATAAATAATCCCATTTCGATTAATGTCACTTTAATTGAAAAAACTCCCTATCCCCTCATGAAAAAGGAGGTGCGACACCGGTGACTTGGGACACCTTAATAATTATTCCAAGCGGCGACTCTAATTAAAATAAATAATCTCATTTCAAATAATGTCATTTTAATAGGAAAAACTCTTTATCTTCGGAAAAGAGGTGTGACACAAGGATTGGCTAATCTTATTGTTATCCAAACTAATCGTTCAATACCCGTGTACCTCTCCCTTGTCACCACTTTAAAATCCAGTAAGATGAGGTATGTAAAGAAATTCTTGAAAGTTTAAATCTTGAAAATGGTAGTATTAAAAATCTAAGTATTGGTTCTTTTCTTAGGAAAGGTCTTGAATATTATTGGAATTTAAAGAAAGATCAAGAAAATGTTGAAGTGTTTGATAAATGGAGTAGAAAAGCACTTGAAGAAGGTGTTTTTGCTATGTTTGAGAATATACATAGGCATTATTCATCAGTTGGTGATTTGGGTACTTTAGATTTCAATGGAGAAAGTCAGTATTGTAATTTTTCTGGAGATGAACTAACTATAGCTAAAGGGTATTCAACTGTGGTTGAATCTTTGACATCTGTTTTACCACCTGGTTTGATTCAGTTAGGCCGAAAAGTCATGGAAATTGAATAGCAATCTGATAATTGTGACTTAAAATTTGAAAATGGTGTGACACATGGATTAGCTAATCTTATTGTTATCCAAACTAATTGTTCAATACCCGTGTACCTCTCCCTTTTCACCACTTTAAAAAGGTGAATTAAATTTGCCACTTAGGAGCCACATGCTAGTCCCAAAGGCTAATCAACAAAAATACGAATTAAGTTGAACAAAATAAAGCTTCATCCATGAATAAGGCCATAGTTGAGCTGTTTTGCAACCGGTGGAAGGTTATTTAATCCCAATTATAACCGAGAGCAAAAGTCATCTCAATTAATTTGACATTGAGGAATGGTGAAGTAGAACTTCTATTCATACTTAGGGACCATTTTGGTTAAAATTTTGAAATGCGTTAGGACTATAATTGCAAAAACTAAAAAATGTTATATTATCTCGGTTAATTTGTGTCTTACTTATAGTTTTGATGTGTTTTAAAAAATAATTATTTTTATAATACTTTCATTTTATCTTTAATGATACACAAGATTCCAACCGAGGACATGACCCTTGATAGGAGGGTGTGGAGGCTGAGAATTAGGGTAGAAGGTTAGTAGGTAGTCGAGCATTTCCCTGTGTCTTCCTTAGTTCAATAGTATTAGTGTATTTTGGTATCCCTTCTATTCTTAGTTTGCTATTACCACATATTTTGCACTGTTGTTATTTGCCTTCCGTACGCCCTTAGTTAGTTATCAGCTGCATGTATCATCAACATGCCTGTCTGCCCCATGATTTAGGCCCCTTTTATTGACCAAGTTTCAAGAATTTACCCATAAAACTTGATGACTTAGTGATACCTGGAAGAAGCCAGGCACATGTGGTGTCCAGAGCCAACTTTTAATGACACATAAGCTTCCATCAGCTACTGAACCTCCTTGTTTCTACTTAAAGGCTAGATTACAAAACAAACAAGAGATTGCACCCACTTCAATACTCAAAAAAACCAGAAAAAGGAAGAGCTTTGGGTCATCGTTCATGGTGCTAGCAGAAAAATAAAGAGCTCTGGGTTATCATCCATGGCTTTTCAATCTATACCCAAGTGTGTTATATGCACATTATAGATACAAATTAAAAGTAAATGGACGGCACAAATATTTTGAGTAGAAAATAATTGAAAAAAAAGGAGAAACGCTATAGAGATGATATAGCAAGAAAATACTCCCAACATTTAATACGAGAAGAGTAGCCGGTGAAGGAGCAGAGTCAGAAGCAAAGTAAAAGCTTCTGTGAGCAGCTTGTTCGGGTTTGACGAGATGGATATCGGAAAGGATTAAGGGGGATTGTCGTTCATTTATAATAACCATGTAATTTTTGCTTAAAGTTACTTGAGGTGACAGAATGGGGAAAAGACAATGCAATCTCAGCTCTTAAATTTTGAATGTACATGTGGCTCACATCAAAATGTCTATTGAAGATTACTGGATGAATACATTATTGGAGCGTATCCGAACCCTACTTACATGTGCATATATGTTTATGGTCCTTTTAATTATTGAAGATAGATGGACTGCACCTTCAATTCTTGTATTTTTAATCTTACCTTGAGTTTCTCCACCATTTTTATTTATTTCATTAGTAGCCTGATCACCTTTACTCATTTTTACTCAATAAAAATAGTAGACAAATAAACTCACTTTCATCAGTCACGATCAACAAAGTTTATAGCGTGTTAGCGGAAACGTAAAAGAAAGAACATAAGATTTAACGTGGTTCGGATCAAAATAATCCTACGTCCACCAGAGAACAATTGCCCTTTTAATATTAACAAAGGAAGGGGAGATTTCCCAATTACACTTAAGAGAATTTCTCTCTTAACTCTCTACTCACTACAATGTATTGTATTATTTTGGGATGATTTCTACAAGTGAAGGAGTGCATCTATTTATAGAGGTAAAGACCTCCTCTTGATGTCATTGGTGACATCAAACTACCTCCTCTTGATGTCATGGGTGACATCAAAGGAGGAAGCTTCCTCCTAGCATCCACACCAACT